TATGCTACTGATAAACATACCATGTAAACGAATAAATAACTGCTACAATCGATAGCAATAGTATGATGACATCATGTTATTAAATTATCACTGACAATTTATCAAACAGACGAATGGTCAACTCTGATTAGTTATTGTATGAGATGCGATTTTTTACCAATAATATTACAAGTGTTAGAGTTAAAAATTTGCAAAAATATTTTTTCGAATGTATAAATTCAAATTTTAAAAGCATTTTTGAATTTCAAATTCAGATTCTACATTCTTCTTCCATTCTTCTATTCATTTTTATTCGTCCTCTTCTTCCTCCAACTTTTCATTATCAAAATTGATGAATCAGTCAATTATACAAAATTTGAAAAAATCGGCTTTCTTCAGAAATAAAGAAAAATTTTTGAACACTTTTCCTTAACTTGATAACTTATACTTAATAAAGTCGTCTTTCTGTTCCATTTTCTAAACATAAATTGGTTATTTGATTTCAAATTTACGAAGAAATTTGAAAGCAATGAGACAAAATCATTACAATTAAAGAAAGAACAAACAATTTTGAGTATTGATTTTTAATTCTGCAACAAAGCAAACCAAATTTTGATAAGTCCTTTTTTTACCTCAATCTGTATAGTAATGAGCTTTTGATTTATTTTATTGATAAGTTGGAGTAAATTATAATCAGAAATTACAATCATCATATCTTTTCTTTAATACGAGAATTTTACAATTAATTAGCAATATTGCAAAAGTTTTCTATTTATTTCTAACGAACTGTAAATTTTTTAATGCACTGAAATAAATTAAATTTATACAAAAATAAACAGAGTAAAACATAACAAAACAAAAACGAAACAACTGTAAATGTACAAAAAATTCTCAACCATAAATACACATACATTTTCGTAGAATGCCAACGCCAGTGCCATGTTCATGAATTATAGCTTTTAGTAGTATTTCGAGAAATAAAAACAAAAAAAAAAAAAATCAATTATTTAAAGAAAACAAAATTTCTCGAACACGCTTTTTTCGGTGAAAAAAAAAAAAAAAAATTATCCATTATATTTGGCTACCTTTCTTCCTAGATCCGAACGAATGACCTTAATTTTTGTTTGTTTTGTAATTTTCATTTGTTTGTTTTTTTTTTTCTTCAAATTAAAATTTATAATGTTACCTTTCATCATTATCATAGAAATTCAATAAATTGCCAAAATATATTGGTCAGTGAAAGAAAAGAAGAAAAGAAAAAAATTTTTTAAAAACTCTAGAAATTATCATTAAGCAGGAATAATCACAGTGGAATAGAAAATTCATTTACTTAATGTAATAAATTTATGGTTTAAATTTAAAATTAAGTTTCATTTTTTTTTTTTAAGATTAGCAAGACTGTACTAGTTAGTAGCGTAAAGTAGCGTAAATTTTTTAAATATAGTTAAATTAAGGAAAGAATGAGTTGAAAATGCGAAATGTTAATATATTACTGTTACATTATGCTTTTTATAAAATTTGTTATTACATAAATTTATATGGGAATAATTTTATTTCCTGAAGAGGAAATGAATAAATTCGTCAACAAAATGAATTTCATATTGAAATGTAACTTTTTTATGCAATGTTACGGATTAGATTTTGAATTTAATCAAAAATTTAGCATAGTATTTGATTAGAATAATTTTGATGAAATTCCTGGTGACTACTGTTTTCAAGTAAAGAATTGATAAAAATTTCGCATAAAAGTTACCGGTTCTCCATTTCCATATACAAATTTAATTCAATAACGTTTAGAATTAAAAACCGAAATTGAAAAAGAAATAGGGGGAATTTTGGTATTATATTTGTGATTCGAACTTGCAATTTTTTTTTTTCCGCTTTTACCTTTCAATCTCATGTTTGTTTAAATTAATTTTCTGGTTGTTAGTATTTTTTGAGTTACTAAACAACAAATGTTTATCAGGAATAAATTGAAAGCTTTTATTAGTGCGACTTTAATGATGTCTGGGAAATTTAAATGTAACAATGTAAGAATAGTATCAAGTTGTCATTTCAAGATGCTTAAATGTCAGGTCAAACCAAAAAATTATCGAAAGTTCTAGACTTTAAATGATATCGCTGAAAAAAAAAAAATTACTGATCAGAAGATTTGATGTTTTCTTTGAAAGAAACAGTAACAATGAGATGAAACCTTGACCTTTGCCGTGAAGGAAACAGTAACATACACTGATCCCGCACACTGAGAACCAGCAAATTTTGACTAATCTTAAAGAAATCAATACAATCAAATGATCCGCTTCAATAGACTACAGTTTGCTGTTTTCGAGAATGCTGATGTTTAAGTTAATTATCATGAAATCCTAAATCTATCCCGGATGATGATCTATTCTAGCTTTCGTTGAAGCTCAAATTTTTCATCAGAGATATGACATGAAATTGAAACTAATCACCTCATAATATTCAAAACATCTTTTTGTCTTCATATATATA